AGGGAGAAGCAGGCTCCATGCAGGGAGCCCAACGTGGGACTCGATCCCGGGTCTCCAGGATCACACCCCGGGCCAAAGGCAGCGCTAAACCGCTGAGCCACCAGGGCTACCCACAAAATTCTTAAATACGATGTTGGCTTTAAATGCTTTGATTATATTACACTAGTAGAAAAAACCACTATACACACTTTTCTGCACTATGTTCATTCAGTAATCATAAGCTGTAATAATTAACTTTTGCATAATGTGTGACACTTTATAAAGCATTTGTACATATACTGCCGTGCCTGTGATTGTAACAACTCTCTAAGGTGGATAAAGCAGGTTTCTCTATCATCTATTTTTACAGATGGGTAAATGCAAGCGACTTGTCCAAAATCACCTCAGAAGTGGCAGCACTTCAAACCCTGGCCTCCACACCCTAGGGCCGTGCTCTTTCTGCTCCCCTTCCCATTGCTGATTCCAGTTACGTGGCCACCTTCTGAGACAAGCAATGTGGCCTAATGGGATTCAATTTGGTTGTTACTTTTTCTCCCTCTCCCTCCCTGACCTCATGACATAAGAACTTATCACTCATTCATAATTCTTCTGCACAAAATCTAGTGAAAACAATGGCGCCAGTGGGGGGATGAATTAAAATCTAGAATGCTGAGATGGTGTCTACTCATACATACAAAAAGATTTGACTGTTTGAATGAGTTGAGTGGTAACTAACCAATTACTAACCAGCTCAGTTAATACTGCAGCCTGACATGTAAGTAGTCTCAGCCTGAAGTGAAGTGACAGGTGCTGTATTTTACTTTTGTTCCTCCGTTGACAAGGCTTGTGTGTGCTTCATAATCTCATTGGCATCTATTTACTGCACCTGTCTTGCAACTGTAATAATAATAACAATAATAACAGGCCAGGCATGTTGGCAAGTAAAAGAAGTAACATGAGTTGTTCCAAGATAATGAGAAATAAGGCTCTTTATTAAGTTGGGTCCATATCACTAAAAGAGAAAGGGATTGACAAGATTATAATTTTCAGCACAAAATGGCACCAATAAAGCTTGCAGAGGTTCTCTAGGCTCTGCCACCTGGATTTCCTTCAGGTCCACTAGAATGCACTGGAAGGTTGCCTAACAGGATGGGGTATCAGGAAAAGCCAGGTTTTCCCTTTCTCTACATTTCCTCTCCTCACATGAAGGCCCACCAATGCTCAGTCTCTAATGTGCCCAACAGTTGGGCATTACATCCTTGGTCTACCCTTGGAAGGCAGCGCCAATCATACCCATCACACAGGCAATATACCTTGGACTTGCAAAAGCTATAGCTGGAAAGTACCTTAGAAGTGCTAATCCAACCCCTTCCCCCTACAGATAAGAAGACAGAAGTCCAGAAGGCCCAAGGTCGCATAGTGAGCTCTTGGCCTCCTAAACCTGCCATTCATGAAGCTTTTCATGCCTAATCTCAGTCTCATCATGCCATATAAACTAGCTAATAAGAACAATAGGTGACCAAAAAAATTAGAACAACAGACAACAGATATTGAGTGCTTAACAACTCAGACATTGTTCTAAATGCTCTATGTAGGCTAATCCACTCCACAAATGAAGGGAGGAGGTGCAGAAGCATTGCCCAAAGGCACAAGGCTGATAAATGGTAGAGAGGGAACCTGAACCCAGGTGGCCTGACACCACAGCCCCATGCTTCACCACCACTCTCCACTACTCTAGAACACTGTGGAACACCTCTTTGTGCCAGGCATTCATTGTTCTGGACACCAAAGATACAATGGAGAATAAGACACAGACTCTATCTTCAAGTTTTCATTCCTGTGGAAGAGATGGAGCATAAATAGGTAAACAGCAGGCACATTTACTTAAATAAATGCTTATCAAGTATTGTATTCATTTCCCAGGGCTGCTGTAAGAAAGCACCACGGAGTGGCTTAAAACAATAGAAACTTATTCTCCCACAGTTCTGGAAGCTAGAAGTCTAGTGTGTGTGTGTGTGTGTGTGTGTGTGTGTGTGTGTGTGTGTGTGTGAGTAATCCGTTGAGGGTTTTTAATACCAATTTTTAAAATACTTAAGGAAATTATGAAATGTTTTTAACTTTTAATTCTCTTTAATATTATATGGGCAGACAATTTTATAGAGTATTTCTCCAGTTAAAAGGAAACATCTATTTACTGTTGTTCAATTAGAAAAAGCAATTAACACCTGCCTAATGACAAATATATTGTTTATTTTATTTTTAGATTTTCAAACTAGAGCATGCCCATCAGGACTTCTGCTAAGGAACATAGAATTATTTTTTTGTATATTTTTTTATTGGAGTTCAATTTGCCAACATACAGTATAACACCCAGTGCTCATCCCGTCAAGTGCCCCCCTCAGTGCCCATCACTGCACCCCAATGTTTATAGCAGCAATGTCCACAATAGCCAAACTGTGGAAGGAGCCTTGTTGTCCACCAAAAGATGAATGGATAAAGATGTGGTCTATGTATACAATGGAATATTACTCAGCCATTAGAAATGACAAATACCATTTGCTTCAACGTGGATGGAACTGGAGGGTATTATGCTGAGTGAAGTAAGTCAATCGGAGAAGGACAAACATATGGTCTCATTCATTTGGGGAATATAAACAATAGTGAAATGGAAGCCAGAAGTCTAAAATCAAGGTATCATCAGGGCCAAGTTCCCTCTGGGATGCAGGCTAAGAGACTTCCTTGCCTCTGGTAGTGGGTGCACCTGCTTCTGTGTCACATGGCATTTTCCTCTTTTTATAAGGACACCAGTGACATTGGATTGGGGCTCACCCTATAACCTCATCTTTACTTGATGATGTCTGCAAAGACCTTATTTCCAAACAAGGAGGGTCAGCACTGCAACAACAGCTTTTGGAAGGATGCAACTCAACCCGTAACAAGTACCTACTATGTGCCAGACACAGTTCTAGGCATGTGGATACCACAGTGAATGAAAGAGAAAAGAAAATCCCTGCCTTGTGGACCACATTTTCTGGAAATAGGAAAGAAGTAATAATATGATAGATAAATAAACTCTGTAGAATGTTAAAAAGGAATGAGCCAGTGCAGAGCCTCTGAGTGTGGCAAGTGCAGGTCTGGCTTGACCAGTGAACAGCAGGGAGACCAATGTTGTGGGAATAAAATATGTGAGAGAGGGAACAGCAGGAGATAAGTCAGAACGGTCACAGCGGGCCACATAATGAGGGCCCTATAGGCCATTTTCAAATACTTTGGCTTCCTCTCTGAGTGTAATGATCTGACTTCTGTTTGAAAGGATTCCCCTGGCTGATGCATTAAGAAAAGGCTGGTGAGAGTACAGCGCAGGTGCAGCACCAGAGTGGAGGCTACCAAGGCCATCCTGGTGACAGATGACGGTGATTCAGACCAGGAAGGTAAGAGTGAAGGTGTGAAAAGTGGCCAGTTCCTGGATCCTTCTTGAAGGTAAACAAAGTAATTCCAGGAAGTTTTGAGTACTATAAGGAAAATAAAAATGGGGTCATACCTGAGCTGAGACCGAATAATGAGAAGTAAGTAGTCACTCAAAGAGCTAAGGAAAAAGCATTCCAGCAAAGGAGAAAGTGGGCAGACAGGTAGGAACCACCCCTGGCGCTGAATTCTATGCATTTACAGACTATTCCCTGTCTTTTCTCTTCTTCATGATAATATTCAGATATGATTTTATGAAGGCCTTTCTGCCCACCCACATCCAGATGTTCTGATGACAAATTTTAAAAATCGAGGTGCCAAAGCCTCAATAAGAAGCAGTCGCCTTACTTCTGCCTACAGCTGATCAACATGAAAACGTTTTGAATTCCTACGACTCCGGAGAAAGAAAGTCCACAGCTGCCTTCAGGAACCCACTCCAGAGTCTACCAGCCTCCACTGTGAGGAAACATGTTCAGTGTATCTTCACTAAATCCCTCTGATTACACTGTAACACCGTGTCCTCGGATTCCAGTGTCCTGGAGTTGAAAGACAGCTGGTTTCCATCCTCTGCAAAATAAGGCTCTCTATGCTTAGGACTGCTGGTAAGTCCTCTTCTGTAGGCTAAACAGACTCAATTAATTTCAGCTTTTCTTCTATAAAATTTCTCTCTAAATGTTCCACACTCCCATTTAAATTAGTCATGACTGGATATAGTCCTCTCTGAAGAATAGGAAGAACAAAAATATATAAGATTGGGGTAAAGGAAACATAATTATAAAGAATTATGGAGAGCCAGCGCAAATGTCAAATTTTTGCAGTTTCATCAACAGCATTAACAATTATTTTTTTGAAACGACCACCTTTTTAAGTTAATTAACAAATACACAGTAGTTATGAATTTCAGATGATCATAGATAATTGCACTATACAATTCACCAAATACTGTTTATCTTCCACAACCAAAAACCATGGGGAAAACAGAGCAAATGGTAAATGCCACTAACTTCACCTGTATAACAATGGTTAAATAGTCTATTTAAGTGGCTAATGAAGAAACGCTCACCCACATGACAATGATCAAATACAAAGGGCAATGGCAATTAGCCCTGAATTGCTAAATTCAAACAGACTCGTATGACAGAAAATGTGTAACATCATACCAATAAGTCTTTGTAAAGCACATAATTGTGAAATTTAGATGTGTTATTGCCACATTATGAAAAAAATCCTCAGGCTCCGCATTAGTTGATTTCTGACCTTTTACAATATTTCTCTTATGTTCTTTTTAACAATGGGCCATGTGTAGGTTTGTAAAGCAGCGATTCTCAAACTTTTTAGTTTCATGACCCCTTACCCTCTTTTATTTTTTTTTCTTTTATTTTTCTAAATAGGCTCCAAACCCAACGTGGAGCTCAATGTGGGGCCTGAACCCATGACCCCGAGATCAAGACCTGAGCTGGGATGAAAAGTTGGACACCTAACTGACTGAGCCATTGAGGTGCCCCCAAGACTCCTTACACTCTTAAAAATTATTGAAAACCTGGTCCAGGTCGAAAATGGCAGTGGTGGCAGCTGTGTTCCAGCTCTCTGGGCTGCTAGGTCGGTCCGGGGCACAGCTGGGGCAGTCCATGTTGAGCGGTGCCCACAGCGAGGAGGGCTCAGCTCACATATGGAAGGCCCTCACCTACTTCATAGCACTCCCCGGTGTGGGACTGAGCATGCTGAACGGCTTCCTGAAGTCCCATCATGGAGAGCACGAAAGACTTGAGTTCATCGCCTACCCCCATCTCCACATCAGGTCCAAGCCCTTTTCCTGGGGAGATGGTAATCATACTCTATTCCATAACTCTCACGTGAATCCACTTCCAACCAGATATGAAGATGAATAAAAAGAACCTGGACCACCACCCATAGGATTGGTTTGGACCATGACTCTGCACACAGACCAGAAAAGTATATGGGACCTTAAGCTCACCATCCTTACTTTGATGACCAGTATACTGATCCTCCATCCCTTTGCTTATGGCAGGAGATGGCTTAAATAAATAACTTAGATTGGTCCATGAAAAAAAAATTATTGAAAACCCCAGAGAACTTTTATTTATATGGCTTATATCTATTGATATTTACCATATTAGAAATGACAACTGAGAATTTTTAAATATTAATTCACATAAAAATAACAATAGACCTATTACACATTAATGTAAATAACATGTTTTGCAAAAAATAGCCATATTTGCCAAATCAAAAAATAATGAGACAAATGGCATTGTTTTATATTTTTGCAAGTCTCTTTATTGTCTGACTTAATAGGAGACAACTGTTTCATATATCTGCTTCTGCATACAGTCATATATGTCATACAGCTTCCAGAAACTGCCACTCTACACTCAAGAAAAAAATCAAAATTAAAAAAGCAAGTATCTGGGTATCTGGGTGGCTCAGTGAGTTGAGCGTCTGCCTTCGGCTTGGGTCATGATCCTGGGGTCCTGGAATTGAGCCTCTCATCAGGCTCTCTTCTCTACAGGGAGTCTGCTTCTTCCTCTCCCTCTGCCTGCTGCTCTGCCTACCTGTGTTCTCTCTCTCTCTCTCTCTCTCTCTCTCTCTCTCTCTCTCAAATAAATGAATTAAATCTTTAAAAAAATAAAAAATAAAATAATCTTGAGATTCAATGTTTAGTTGAGTGTTTGAGAAAACACATATGGGAGTGCTTAATTTATCTATCCTGTACTCCTTCGTACTGATCTATAAGAGAAATGTGTGTGTTGGAGATGGGCAGCATATTAATTTCTAGGAAGAAAAGAAATAGTGTCATTAATCCCACTTCTACTCATAAAAAAATGATAGTTATTTGGCTCTTGGGAAATATTTTATTAATCCATTGTTGATTATATACCAGAAAAGAAAATGTCAAACAAACAAATCAGCTAAGTTGGCCCAGTCCAGGAACTAAATCTCTATGAACAAAGCCATATCCTTGTTGAGAGATGGCAAAATAATCTCCACAAAATTGAACTGGAATATATGCTAATATGTGTATCTTTCACCCTTTGTAACTGGAAGGAGAAAACTGCTTGGCTCTATCTTATAGTGGAACATGTATTATAACCAAACATGGCTTATAAATACAAAAGCAACAAACGTCTTTTTTTTTTTTTTTTAAATAAAAGCAGCCCTAGGGCTTCGCCTTTGGATAAGATATCACCGGGGACATTTTTTTTTTAAATTCACTAAAATACTCAAATAGCAAGTGTCAAGGTATTGTATATCCACCCAGTTGGTAAAATAAGTCAGTTAATTTGGCAGGTAAGTATTAAGTAATCATGCTGTCAGAATCGGGTGAGTATCAAAGGGAGAAAGACAAAGACTGAACAAAGGAGCAAAAATAAAATAAGTAGCAGATTATCAAATAAGTAAATAAAAATGAGAACTTCTCAATGCTCCATTGTATCCGCCATAAACCAGTTCAACCCTGCAGATTTTTTCCCTCCTGCTCTAGTGTCAGGAAAGCAACGTGGGTGTGAGGAAACCAAGGCCTGACAGTTTGCGAACTGTGCTGTTAAGAGGGGGTTTGGAAGGTTTCAGGAAAGAAAGGCCTGGTCCCTTTAAGAAGCAAAAGCTGGGCCTCTGGCAAGCCATGAGCTGGAGAATGGCAAAGCCTGCTCCTCCATACATTAGCTTTTCTCCGGAAGAAGGGAGCCGAATTAGAAGCATGGCTGTCAGGAAAAGCCTGAATAGAGAGCATTTAAGCAGATTTTATTCAGTTCCAGGGAAATTCACACAACTTGATCTTTTCTCACTTCTTCAAACCGAAAACGTACCCGTAAGTGCACTGAAACTGCCCCATCTGGGAGGCAAGGACAGAACCTTTATCAGTGAAACTTATCAGTGCTATGCAGAGCAGAGGTACATAGTAGGACCTCGGTATATATTTGGGAATCCCAAAAAAATTAGGATTTTTCTTTATTCTGTGAGAAATAGTGATTTCAGGCCTTTTCTAAGGCTAATGCCAAATTCCTTTTCATAAAAAAAGACTTCTTAAACAGAATTATATGCTAGAACTGAAAGGGATAGGTTGAGCTTCTTACTTTATAGATAAGGAAACTGAGGCCCAAAGAGGTTAAATGGGTTTGCCTAAGGTGGCCTGACTAGTTAATGGCAGAGCCAAGAACACCCCTGACATCCTACCCTCCCAAGCAGCATCAAGTAGACAGAGATAATGAACCTGGATCCATGGATGGATTTTAAGAGTCCAAAATCCAGGAGGGCACGTGATGTAATGAGCACTGGGTATTACAGAAAACCGATGAATCCCTGAACTCTACCTCTGAAACCAATAATATACTATGTTAATTAATTGAATTTTAATTTTTTTAAAGAAGTCCAAAACCCAGCCCAATAACATGTATGTAAAATTTCATGTGCAGGATCCCTGGGTGGCGCAGCGGTTTGGTGCCTGTCTTTGGCCCGGGGCGCGATCCTGGAGACCCAAGATCGAATCCCACATCGGGCTCCCGGTGTATGGAGCCTGCTTCTCCCTCTGCCTGTGTCTCTGCCTCTCTCTCTTTCTCTCTCTGTGACTATCATAAGTAAATAAAAAAAAAATTTCATGTGCATTGCATCTGAGGGGGAGAGAGTCCAAAGTTGTCACTTGATTTTCAAAGGGTGTGTGACCCTCAAAACTGTTAAGAATCCTAGTCTCTGGGGCACTTGGGTGGCTCAGTGGTTGAGCATCTGCCTTTGGCTCAGGTCGTGATCCCAGGGTCCTGGGGTGGAGTCCCGCATCGGGCTCCCCACAGGACCCTGCCTATATCTCTGCCTCTCTCTGTGTGTCTCTCATGAATAAATAAAATCTTAAAAAAAAAAAAACAAAAGAAACTGAGGGTTGCTGGAGAGGAGGTGAGTGGGGGAATGGGGTAACTGGGTGATGTACATACATTAAGGAGGGCACATGATGGAATGAACACTGGGTGTTATATGCAACTAATGAATCACTACACTCTACCTCTGAAACTAATAACACAGTATAGGTTAACTAAATTGAATTTCAATACAAAATTTTTTAAAAACACAAAGACTATAAAGCACCTAGCATAATCCTGGCACATATAAAGTACTCACTTAATGGTAGTTATTTTTTTTAAAAGATTTTTATTGGGCAAAAGACATAAACAGAAATTTCACAGAGGAAGACATAGACATGGCCAACAAGCACATAAGAAAATGCTCCGCATCACTGGCCATCAGGGAAATACAAATCAAAACCACAATGAGATACCACCTCACACCAGTGAGAATGGGGAAAATTAACAAGGCAGGAAACCACAAATGTTGGAGAGGATGCGGAGAAAAGGGAACCCTCTTACACTGTTGGTGGGAATGTGAACTGGTGCAGCCACTCTGGAAAACTGAGTGCAGGTTCCTCAAAGAGTTAAAAATAGATCTGCCCTAAGACCCAGCAATTGCACTGCTGGGGATTTACCCCAAAGATACAGATGCAGTGAAACGCCGGGACACCTGTACCCCGATGTTTATAGCAGCAATATCCACAATAGCCAAACTGTGGAAGGAGCCTCGGTGTCCACTGAAAGATGAATGGATAAAGAAGATGTGGTCTATGTATACAATGGAATATTACTCAGCCATTAGAAATGACAAATACCCACCATTGGCTTCGACGTGGATGGAACTGGAGGGTATTATGCTGAGTGAAATAAGTCAATCGGAAAAGGACAAATATTATATGGTCTCATTCATTTGGGGAATATAAAAATTAGTGAAAGGGAATAAAGGGAAAGGAGAGAAAACGAGTGAGAATATCAGTGAGGTTGACAGAACATGAGAGACACCTAACTCTGAGAAATGAACAAGGGGTAATGGAAAGGGAGGTGGGTGGGGGGGTTGGAGTGACTGGGTGATGGGCACTGAGGGGGACACTTGGTGGGATGAGCACTGGGTGTTATGCTAAATGTTGGCAAATTGAACTCCAATAAAGAAAAAGGAAAGAAAAAAAAGATTTTATTTATTTATTCATGAGAGAGACAGAGAGAGAGGCAGAGACACAGGCAGAGGGAGAAGCAGGCTCCACACAGGGAGCCCAATGTGGGACTCGATCCTGGGTCTCCAGTATCAGGCCCTGGGCTGAAGGCGGCACTAAACTGCTGAGCCACCCGGGCTGCCTTCATTTGTTTTTTTTTTTAATATTTTTTAATTTAATATATTTTTTAATTGAAGTCTGAAAGATACAGATGCAGTGAAACACCGGGACACCTGCACCCCAATGTTTATGGCAGCAATATCCACAATAGCCAAACTGGAAGGAGCCTTAATGTCCATTAACAGAGTTTCATTTGTGATAAAGGAGGCTGGAGGAACCTAAGTGTCTGTCACTAGGGTAATATGGATAAGGAGAATGTGAAGTATACATACTACAGCACATCATGCAGCACTTAGAAACAACAAAGTGGAAGGACACACAACAACATGGATAGATATTAAGGATATGGTCCCAAAAGAAAAAGATTTTGTTGATATTTTTTATTCATGAGAGACACACAAGAGAGAGAGAGGCAGAGACATAGGCAGAGAGAAAAGCAGGCTCCCTGTGGGGACCCCAATGCAGGACTCCATCCCAGGACCCTAGGATCATGACCTGAGCCAAAGGCAGACTCAACCACTGAGCCACCCAGGTGGCCCCAAATGAAAAAGATATTAAGAAACAAAATGACTGGGCAGCCCGAGTGGCTCAGCCGCCTTCAGCCCAGGACGTGATCCTGGAGACCCAGGATCGAGTCCCTCATTGGGTTCCCTGCATGGAGCCTGCTTCTCCCACTGCCTGTGTCTCTGCCTCTCTCTCTACCTGTGTCTTTCATGAATAAATAAATAA